AACTAAAAGCGGATTTAGGGCTCGTCCTCTGAAAGCCCCGAGGTGGGAGCGCGGCGCTGGGGTGTCCGAGCTGAAGTTAAGAACCCTGCCGTGAATTTTTTCAATAGGAGGCCTCTGTGGTCGGCTTTTTCCTTCCTAAAGGAGTTGCCGTTTTGTCGCCGGTGCGGGTTGAACTCTGGCAGGTCCGTCGGGAGGAGGCTGTGTTTTGGGAGGGGGCCCTTGGCGTTCAGCTGCCGAGCGGGTTTGGTCGGATGAGGATGGTCAGAGGGTGGGTGAATAAATCAGTGGCCCTTGAGGAGGAGTATGGGACCGACCGAATTTATCTGGCATCAGGGAATTGGGATGGTTCTACAAAGAAACAAAAAAACACACAAGGCCCAAACACCTGTGTATTTACTTTTTTTTTGTTGCCCTTGTTATGCGAATTTTTACTGGCTCTATAAAATGCAAATTCCGAGCACAGTAGTTCTGCTGTACGCTTATACTCTTTCTTATCTTGATAGCTGCTCTTCTGAGTTTGGAAGCTGCTCGTGCTGTTTGGTTATACTTGCACATATATATATATATGTGTGTAGGTTTTTTTTTTAACAACTCTTCCCTCTGACTTCAGGCCTTAGAGCTGCATGCAAATGCGAAGTTCACAGTTTTACTCCAAGACAAACTTGCTCTAGTGCCTGTTCGTGTCTCCTTTTGCTGGAATATTTGTACAGAGCAAACAAGTTAATGGCTAATGTTGGCTGAAGGGGCACAGCAAAACACTTGAGCGTGCAGAATACTCTGCCGGCAGGTTCTGTGGAGCTGTGCCAACGGCATCTCTTGAGCTCAGTCTTTATGTTAATACAAGTGATTTTTCCTCTCCTCTCTTCTAGCTTCCTTTGCATGTTAGCACACAGCTTAGAACTGCGTTTTTATTTGCAGGTTTTTAGGACTGTTATTTTTGAGCAGAGGCTTTGTACTCTCCCCAAACGAAGTCTTGGTGTATTGTGTTCTATTATCAGCTCCATCAGCTCTTTCTTCTCAGATTCAGGCTCCTGGTGTTGCTTCTTAATATGATAAATACCTTTGCTTTGTTTGAAATAGGTGTAGTGCAAGCACAGCTCATGACATGTTGCCATCATCCACATCTCTGGTGCCAAAACGGGCTGCACACTGTTGTGTTCCACTGAGGGTAGGCTGCGTGAGTAAGATACTAAAAGGTGTAGGTGAAGGGGGCAGAATATGAAGAGAACAGACGTAGTCTTGATCTTAAAAGACGTTTAACTCTGAAAGATGATTTTCACATAACGGCATATAAATGCAGTGTAATTCTGACTCGGAACTAGTTGATTTGTTTTCTTTTGTTGTTTTTCTGATAAATGCTGAACTAGCCAGTTGTAGCACCCTCTGTCTCGCTGAACCAACATTTTTCCGTTTGGAGGATGCGAGAGCGGGATGTAGGAGTGTTGGCTCTTGCAAAACAACTTGGGTTTTGTTTCGGTACTTGCGTAGCTGGTGTGTTTGACTTTTACACTGCTGTACCCTGCTGAGCGGGGAAATATGTGTGGCCTTTTTGTAATAATACAGTGGCTTGTCGTGATCACAAGTCACTTAAATATGTTTGTGTTCTACCAGAGTGCAAAGAGTGGTACCCAAATAAAGGCCACGGGGGCTGCAGTGCACAGTCTGGCTACTGACTCTGTGAACACCACGAAGGAAAAGATTTTATTTTTTTGGCTGTGAAATCCATTTATTTTTTTTTCTGACCAGTACAAAGAGCAGGTCTTGCAACTGAGCTGTTAAATACTAGTCACGAATCATTAAAGGGACGTACTGGACCAAATATATCCATTATCAAAACACTTGGGGTTTTTTGTTTTGTTTTGTGTTTTGTTTGTTTGGTGTTTGGGGTTTTTTTTTTGGCACTACCTCAAACTAGTGTGTGCTTGCCCGAAGGATACGTCTTTTCTGATCGTTTAATATTTGACAGTACTTTGGCTGTTCTTCTCCCAGCTGGGCTTGTGTAAGTATTTCAGCTGGAAGTCTGGGCACTGAAAGAACTCCTGAGCGTTAAAGTTGCCGTTCAGATGCCACCACTGACTTTGCAATCGATATTATGCAACTCGGCCCCACGTTACGGTGATCGTAGTTTCCTTTGGATGCAATCGTGTTCTGTTTGAGAAAACACCATGGGAGAGAAAAAAACAGATCACTGAACTGAAGAGATAAGTTTCAGGTTGTTTCGCTGTGACTTGGGTGGAAGAGAGAGTATTTTGAAGGTGCAAGGTAGGGTGTGACACGAGGACTTGTTTTGATTTGACTTAATTTGAAGCTGCATTTTAGCTGGCGAGTGGTTCTCTTTCGTAGTGGACTTCGCTTGTGCCTGTTGCAGCTTCTAAACCTGGAATGTTTGACTCCTGAATCAGAAATCTGTTCCCCAGCTAACTAAGTTGCATCTTGACTTTTTCTGTTAGCCCAGCTTTGTAAGGAAAAATAATGTTATCTCAATGTGTGTGACAGCAAGAGGGTAGGAAATGAGCTTTTGGGAAGAGGCCTGAGAACACTGTGTACCCGAAAATGACCTTGCTCTGCAAGTCTTGCCTTCCCTCTTCTATATTGCAGCACTGATCTTCCGTTACAGTTACTGACATCTCGCACACCTCAGGCTGTTCCTGGATAAAGGTTTGTCTAGAAAGTGTCCTCTAACTCAGAAGAGCCTCTTTCAGTGTGGTTTGAAATCTGATCTCAGTACGATGCAGCAGTATTTAGGTGTTTTCTTATTAATGGTGCTTAAATTCTCACTGCACACCTTGAAGAAATAGAAGATGGTAGGTGTCAAAGTGAAGCAGTAGATACCAGCTTGCGTTAAATTCAGAGCCGATATGCCTTCTAAGTCCTCATCCCTCTTTGTTTAAAGGATCCAGAAATTGCCACACATGGAGGTGAAAACTCATCTGGAAGATGTCTGTTGACTCTGCTGGGTCTAGCGTTCATCTTGGCAGGAGTTGTTGTGGGTGGAGCCTGCATCTACAAGTACTTCATGCCTAAGGTAACGGGGAAGTTCTTATTTCTCCAAGCATCCTCGAATGAAAAAAGAAGTGGGATTATAAATGGATTAAAAGTGCTCTAAAAATAACTAGCCTTGCTCTTACTTTCAGCATAAGGTGTACCGTGGTGAAATGTGTTACTTTGAAAATGAGAACCGTGATCTTGCCGTAGAACCTTATTTCCTGCCTATTGCTGAAGAAGCTGACATCAGAGAAGACGATAACATCGCCATCATTGACGTGCCCGTCCCAAAGTTCTCGGACAGTGATCCAGCAGCGATCGTCCACGACTTCGACAGGGTGAGCATGTGGTGCCAGGGGACTTTTAGGTATTTTTGCCCAAGGAGTATCTGCAAGTGGCAGTTGCTGCTTGGTCAAGAATCCTGTGTAACTGAAAGTGAGGGCAGGAGAACATTTTAAATGTGAGTTATGAAGTGGGGAGACTAAGGATCCGGTCTGAGAATCTACCAGACTGTGTTTACAGCGGAACGTAGAGTTCCAAACGAGCGTGGGCCTTGGATAAGGGAAATGAAAAGTCACTTCAGGTGGCTGAAACCTAGAACTTGAAAATGCTGTGTTAGTTGCATGTAGCTTCTCTAAAGCAAAGAGATGGTTTTGACTTGATTTTTTTTTTTAATTAAAGTTGTCATCCTTTGCTGTAAAAGCTCTCGTAGGTTGCTTGTAAATCAGACCTTGACGATGCAGATATAATCACAGTAAAGACAGGAGAACTGAGCTCTGTACGTGGTGCCTCCAGCATGGAATGCTGTGAGGTCAAGCTGTGCTACCTGCGTTCGCAGCATTTGCAGCTTTTATCTGTCTTGTCTTGACAGAATCTGGGCTATAACGTGAAGGATTCAGGCAGCGTAAGAATTTCAGTTGCTTCTGGCTGAGTACTTTGCGAAGCCATAATACAACACGTAGATGGGTTGAGAATTTTGGTCTCTGTGGTTCTTGCATTCCGTAGTAACACTGGTGTGACTTCCCAGAGACCAATACTTTTCCTGCAGAACTGTTTATGGGGAGGGATTGCTTATCAGCAGTTGGATACCTGTTGTTTGCACTGTGCTTAATTGGACTTCTTGGGTTAGGAGAACATACTCCCAAATACATGCTCTGCGTTAGTACAAGCCGTGCTCCTTTAGAATTGCAATAGAAACCACTTTTATAGTCAGATCTCACTTCCGTACAAAAGTCCCGTTGTAAACAGCAGCTATCGTTGCTTTTGCAAACAAAAGTGTGAATTAGCTGAGTTCTTACACCAGCCAGTTCCCCACGTTGATACTAGCTCTGCATGATCGCCAGCTTTTTCAGCTTCCTTCTTAGTCCTTGTAGAACCATGTGCTCAGAATCAAAGGCCACATTTAACGAGTCGAAAAACTTGTTTTCGAAACAGCTTCTCACGGCGTATCTTGACTTGCAACTGGGAAACTGCTACGTGATTCCTCTGAACACATCCATCGTTATGCCGCCACGCAATCTGATGGATCTCTTTGCGAAGCTGGCGGTACGTGGAAGCTGTGCTGTTTGGTGTTGCTGACGAGGTTGCTTTTGTTAAGAGCGCCGGGCCTTGCTCCTGACCTACGGTCCCTTGCTGGAACGGTCCTCTTGCCATCAGAGGACATAATCCCTGGCTCAGGCACTGTACTGAAGTTCAGGCCAGCTGTCAGTGTATATTATGTTGAGCAGATTCATGCTTAATGCTCTTATTAATACGTAGCCTTATGAAAGCTGAAAGCAACTCGCAAATCAGGTTAAATTTAGCTGTGAGAAAGGAATTTGTTCAAGCTCCAAACATTGTGGAAAGCCCGAACGTGAAAGTTACTACCAGAAAGCTCGCTGGCCCCAGGAGAGTTTAACTGAAAAGAACAATGCAAACTTGTTTATCTGTTTTATTGGCACTGTAGTTATGAGCTCACCGTGAGCGCTCTGGCTCTTCTGTGACTGCAGCTGGTATTTTTCCAACAAGGCTACAGCTCAAGCTGATGGAGCTTGCTGCAGCTATCAAATAAAATGCAATGCTGAGCTCTTGTGTGTCAAACACGCAAAAAAGTCCTTCACTCCTCTACACTTAGTGCCAGAGGCCATCTGATCCAGTTGAGCTCGTTCTGGTTTTTGGTTTGTTGTTTTTTTAAGCTTCAGGAAGACAAACTTGAAGTGTTTCTCCCTGCTCCCATTTTTAGGAGCTGGTCACAAGGGGTGGAAAGTGGTTCCAATAACACTGTAATCTTGTGAAGACTTAACTTTTGCAGCTTGTGTTGCTTTTTTATGTATTAAAAGTATATTGCCTCAAACCTGAAAACTTCCCTAGTACTTTTTCTCCTCTCATCGCTGCAAACTTTCTGTTGCGTACAAATAAACTTGAACGGGCTCTGTTTCTGTTTGCTGCTTCGCTTCTTGCGAGGTGAGCGATGTTAGGCTTAACTGTGCTGTGTTTGGAGGTAACTGCAACTGTTTGAAAAACCTTTTGTCATTTTTTTAAATTCTCTGGTATGCAGCTGTTCCAGACTAGCATATCTTAATATTAAAAAGAAAGAAAGCAAGCTTGAAGCCCATTCAAAGCGAAGAGTAAAATGTAGTGATGTTTGTTGTTTAGTAGAATATCTCAAGGGTTTTTTTTCTTCTTTTAGACTGGCTCTTACTTGCCTCAGACTTACCTTGTCCGTGAAGAAATGGTGGTTACAGAGGAGATAGATAACGTGTCTGATTTGGGTATCTTCATCTACCAACTCTGTGTTGGAAAAGAGACATTCAGACTTCAGCGTAGAGACCAGATAACAGGTAAGTCTGTTGTTCAAGTAGGGAACGGGTGAATGCTTGAGCAGCTGGAATTTTTACACTAGGAAATCTGTTCAACATGAACTGAGACACTGCTCATAGAACCGATGGGTATTTTCCCCCGTTTTCAAGTATGAATCTGAGGTTTCATTCGAGCGTGCCGAGGGACACTTTCAGTTACAGAATTGGAGGTTACGTGCCCGAAGCAAATCTGAGCTTAAGCCTGTTTCTGTTCTATCTTTTGCTGAAGTCATGAGTTAGTTTGGGCCCAAAATTCATATAATCCATCTGATAACGCGAGTCTCTGTAGATGCATCTTAGTCTATCGCTGTCCTGTCTAAATTTGGGCTGTAGGAGCCTCAAGTACAAGTGTTATCTTCTGGTTCACTTGCCCAGGAAAAAAACAAATAAGAAGGTAAACTGAGTGACTGGCTCTGGACATCCCAGACTTCCTCTGTAAAAGAGGAAGAACACTTTGTAGGAACTTCTGAGCTTTATTTCTTTATTGCCTGTCTCCTCACGCCACCCCCCTGCCATTCTGTGAGGAGGATTGAATTTGGGGTGTAGCTGGTTTGGCAACAGGAACCTGAAGGGAGGCTGGTTCTGATGTACAGAAGTGTGATGCGATGGATTTTAGTTCGTGGTACTTCTCAAAGCTTTCTGTAGTGCGCTGCTCTCACCAAACCTTAGTCGCTTACGGCCTTTCCGAATGCAAACGTTTGGTTTATCAGAGCTCTTTGCTCTGGTTTTCCTGCCAAGCTCTTAGGTAAGAGTTTCCTCAGTGCGGTTACAGCTTGCAGCAACCTGAGCCACAGTTGCTGTTCGAGGCTACATTGTGCTGCTAGAGGGAAGACTCTGTATGTGGGAGCATAAAACTAGTCCTGGGGAGCTACGGGTGTGAGGCACGTGAAGAAACAGTCAGTGTTGCCTTTTTGCTTGCCCAGAAGGGTTCTACTAAAGGAATAATGCTTCTCGGTGCAGTTTCTGGTCTGTAGCTGACCTTGTTTGCCCTTGGGGCAGGAAATCTAGTCAAACTGAAGACTGCTGCTGAGGGGAAAATTGTTGAGGGGGCGAAGCTTAGCTTGCCTTCCAGATCAAATTTCTATGGCCCCTTCCTTTTGGTACATACAAACTGTGCACGTGTAAATAATCAGACTCAAATGGATAAACTGCTAAAACTTCCGTGGAGAAGACTTCTCGTTAAGCTGGTGCTGCATCGGCTCTCGGATTTGGTCGAGTTTGGAGGTTCACCTGTTAGATCAAACTGACCTTGGGTTCTCCGGTTGTTCCCTGGAGCTGTAACCGATGGCACGTGAGGAACCGGAGAGGTCATCCCAGCTGTTCAATTATTTACCCAGTCAGACAACCATTGGAAACTTGTTAGCTTGTGCAGGTATTAAACTCGAGGTGAATCGAAGAACAGCCTGTCTTTTAAGTGTTTATGGGCTCAAGCAGCACCCTGCTAGATTTGGTGTGAGAGCCAGTGCTTCTAGACTTCTGTGGATAGCTTCTCTGACTTACTCTGAACAATCCTCTGCTTACTAAGCAAGCTGAAAATCTTTCTTCTGCGGTTGTGTATTGAAGTGCTTTAGCTGAGCAGCTTGACTTTGCTGGCAGGATGGCTGTATTCTTGCCTCCTAGGAGAGATCTGCAGCTGATACAAGTGAACTGCCTGTGTCTGATCCACTGCCATCATGTCCCAAAATAGAGAAAATCACTTTAATAGTGTTAGGAAAAACTTGAGTAAGATCATGAGCTGAGTGACAAATCCTTACAGGGCTCTCGTCAAGGTGAAAATGGCTCTATGGAATCACTCGCTGTTAATGCAGACTGTGCGGGGGAGAAGTGCTGATAAAGAGCTCTAGATGATCTCTTTAGTGTTTTCTGTCGCTAAAATGGTGATATATTAGATAAAAGAAGTATGAGATACATTAGAAGAAAGTGCTTGCTTGCTCTGTTCCCTGTGGTGTCTGTTATTGGGCTCCTCTCTTTTTGTTACCGTTCTGAAAATGAGGCTTTCTGATAGAAAACAAACTGCTGTCAGAGCTCTGGTGGCAGTTCTTGGCTGTAGAAAGACTGTGTGCTCAGCGATTGCCTCTCGGTGCTGTTGGTGATGATGCAAAGCCTGTAACTACTCACTGCTGGGTTTTATAGATGAGCTTTACTCAGGCTCTCCTCTTCTCTCATCCCCAGGTCTGCAGAAGCGCTCAGTGGAGAACTGCCATTCGATCAGACACTTTGAAAACTCTTTCGTTGTTGAAACAAAGATCTGTCAGCAGTGAAAGGTGTCGGATGGGAGGTGACTAGTTCACACCTTCGTTGAGAAGTCTGAGCATTACACGTCGACTTCTTAAATTCAAATGTGCAGTGATAATCAAAAGCCTTATGCATTTTCTGTGTATTGCTTGTATTTCAAAAGACAAAGTCACCATTTCAGCTTTCTTTGATCCTTGGTATAACTTTTTAGTTGTCTCATAGAATCATAGAACGGGTTGGGTTGGAAGGGACCTTCAGGGTCCTTTAGTTCCAACCCCCTTGCTGTGGGCAGGGACATGTAACTTCAATGTAAAACTTAAATTTGAGTAAGGTTGGTTGTTTTCTTTAGAAGGTTAATATCGGTTTATTCGTTGAATGTGTTTGATTTAGTGTAATCTGGGAATGGCAGAAATATATATATAAAGCAATGTTAACCAATTCCTTGGCTGGAACCCATTCTGTTCACCTTAACTTTCACAGAATGATTAATATTAATAATCTGTGGTTTGCACATCTCGTGTAGTTCTGTAGAATAGCTCTGCACTCCATATCCCGGCTAAAAAAAACTTCCCGATGCGCATCACTAAAGTTTTATTTTAACTACCATGTGTGAAGCATGTAAAATCCAACCTCGGTGATCATAAACCTTTAACACTACCCTGTTTCATTTTGTGCAATTACTGTATTGAATTCGTATGTATATTTGGAACCTTCCCTGAGCTTACATTTAATTCTTCTACCTTTGTTTGGTTTTGTGGTATTTAGTTGTTAGATTCAGATAGAGTTGCTCTTAAAGCTTGTCAGTATTTTTCGTTACAAATTGGTTTATCCTGTAACTTCCTGTTTCAAGAATCTGTTTCTGGTAGAGCTCACTTGTGAATGTGACTGTAGTTGTAAACTTAAACTACTCTGGCTTATATAAACTTTTTAGATCAACTTTTTATGAGCAAGTAGCATTACTACTGCAGTCAGAGCATTGTTCCTTTTTTTCCTTTTTTTTGAAAGCTGCAGTATAGAGATAATGAAGAGTTAGTGTCCTGCAGTTGATGAACTTGAGAGTTTTATTAAGGGACTTTATATTGGCGTAAATTCTGCAACCCTATAATAAATGTTTCTCTAAAACTTTGGCGTTTGTGTGGCTTCGTGGTGCTCGGAGGCAAGAGTGCCGTGCGCTGGCCTGTGGAGAAAGGATGGTTCTGGGCCTGGAGCAGCACGCGGGGCTCTTCCCTCTTACCCTCGCCTCTCTTTCGGCTTGCGAAGACAAATTTCCTCTCCCCGTTGCTGTGAGAAGCGCTTTGTGGTGCAAGAAGAACTTGGGGAACAGAGAGGAGAAGAGTTGACTCGCTTCAAACCCGGCAGGTGATCTCGGCGATGTTTGGGTGTGATAAACGGGATCTGTGGAGCGGAGTTCTGGCGCGGGGGCAGTTGTGGTACCGCCGAGGAATGACGCGTCCCGCGATCCGTCCGTTCGAGTGCTGGCGTTGGTGAGGCTGGTGATTAAAGATTTGTCTTGGTGGATTTATGGCAGCACTACTGAAATATTTTTAGCGTCTTTTTTGGCGAGGATGTGCCCCAAAACTAGAACTTTGGCCTGCATGGCTAGTCCCTGTATGTAGAGGGAGAGTATGGAATTGTGTTCTTTACTGCCCTAGAATGCTGTGGAACCACGTTTGTGCTGCTGGAGGGAGGAGCTGCACCGACACGTTCCTGCCACAGACACGGGACGTGCTTGGGCAAGTCGCTGTCGTGATCTCCTCCTCCGGATTGTCTGAGGGGATGACGAGGGTGGGTTGGCCGTCTTGTTTTGGTAGCCTCCAGCAGCAGGGCTTGGAAACATGTTCGTTGCGGGGAGCAAGAAGCATGTGCTTGCCTCGTTGAGGTTTGAAAACAAAGTAGAAATTCCTCCAGTTTTGAGTGCCGGGCAGTGAGTGGCTCTCCCCG